CTACACACGTCAGGTCAGCTCAGGTCAAGAAAAGAAGCAATGGTCGGCTAAACCACCACCTCCACCACAATACGAAGATTCGATGCGCGCCGAACCTAATCAATGACCTGAATCTATTCCAAAAAACTCCATCGGGAAGCGCGAGCATCCTTCCTCCCCTCACCACCTGGGAATCACATATTTCCCACGCAGGCCCCTCCACGCCACGCGACGCCCGCCTCCAGTCACTCGATCCAAGAGCAACATGTACTCCGTACGCTCGGAGCCCGCAAACATCACGTATCCAAGAGACCACAAACGCAAACCGCACCGCACTCCTCGACCCCGCAATGCGCTGCACTGCACAGCGCGCCGCAGTCAGCAGTCAGCAGGCAGCGTACGGCAGCATCTCTAGCAGCTGCCATCCTCGGCGAAGTGAAACCCCGTCCGTCCATGCATTCAGTCCGAGCTCCTATCCCCTAAACCCCTCCGTCCCGACACGAATGCCCCGATTCGCCAACTCCAGTCATCTCTCGAGAGGATCAAGTCTTGACAGACCATGACAACGGCACCCGTCTGTTCTCGCAAAGCACGGGGGTACGGATTGCGGCACGCACCACCCTTCACCTGTCATCACATCACATCACGGCCTCCTTCACCTCGGTCAAGCCAAATCGCGTCCGCAGCTCTGTAGCCGTAGATGTGCTGCATCTGCAACGCTCGAGATATGACCTGTATGCACCTCATCATAAATGGACATAACACAGCAACAGGTGATATGTTTTCGCCCTGCACCCCTAAGTTTTCTGCCATGTAACCTATCAAATCGACTCCCCATGGCCTTATTTAAGCTTTTCCGTTATCATCTGCCTCGGAGCAATATTTCAAACAAAACAAAACAGCCACCTTCAAAAATTCCACCCCAATGGCTAACCCTCCAAGTACGAGTTATCTGCATGCCTGCCAACCAAGATGTAAGGGAGCATGGACCATGAGTCGTTGCGCCCATGCGGCGGCACATGAATTACATTAAGGCAGGTCTTCAATGCCGACCCTGCATGAGTGTCGATCACACGTCTCCGAGCCACATCACATTCAAAAGAGGGACAAGCATTCGAGCACATGTTTGTGATCGCTGTCTTTATTTGCAATTAACATTGATATGTCTGCCTTGCAGGGATTCCACCCCGGCCGTCTGGACCCTTGTGCTTTAATGACCCCTTCAAAGCCTTTCATAAACTTTTGCAGACCAAAGATGTTGCGACCCCAGAGCTTCCGACCACGAACCTCTTGGATGATCTTGGATGAAAAGTAAAATCTTGCGCGCGGTTGTCTAAAGAAATCTCAAAAATTGCATCGCCAAGACCTCAACGCCTTTTGAGTATGCCCGATGCCTGTACCGAAAATGAGAAACCTGGGGTATTCGAATGGCTGCGATCTGAGAAATAGTAGCTGAATGCTTCCATCCAGATACTGCGAACACTCCCTCTCCTTCTCTCGCTCTCGGCAATAGTTGTCTGCCGAAAATCACGAGGTTGCGGAATCGTCGCAAACAGTGCTGATATAAAAAAGACGGCAAAACTCAGAAATGCAGTATCTGGTGGCCCGGTCACTCTTCGTCATCAGAGCTAGAGTCTGATTCGGAGGAACTCTCAACGTCGTCCAAGTCAATAGGGGCTCTGGCATCACCCCCAACTTGCTTGAGAAGCTGCAAGGCCGTCATACCGCCACTAGACGATGGCCTCGACGGCGTTGCGTCCAACGCGCTTTCGTCCGGAGCAGCAGACCCAACCTTCTTCGACGGGCTTGGGACGTGTACCTCAACTTTATAGTTGCCTTGATGATATGTTGACGGCGGCGGCCGGCCTGCCACCGGCTGTGCGGACGCAGGCGGCTGTGACATGCTCATGCTCGCCGTCGGATCCTGTGTTGCGGCCGTCGCGTTGGAGCCGTTGAGGCCATTGGCCATGTCTGTTACCGCGACGGTCTGGATCGGTGTGAGATCCCGCGGAGTCTGCGTCGCCGACGCATCACCATTTCCACTGAGGCGAGCTCGCTTGTCGGCATGGCCTTCCTTACTCGGCGTAGGAATTGCGCGAGGTACACCATCAGGCATGCCCATACGCTGGCGCTCCAGTTCCATCTCCTCGCGATTACGTCGCTGGCGCAGCTTGATGCCGTACTTCTTGCGGATCGTGGACTGCTTGCATGCGTACGAGTTCCTGAATCCCGCCAGCTTCTTCTGCAATTCATCCGGGTCACCACCGGCTTTCTGCGCAGCTTCGATTTTTATCTTGAATCCTTCTTCGGCTAATTGCAACTCGGCCTTCAGCGCCTCAATTTGATGTACTGTGAGATGGGCCATGTCCTTGTGCTGAGGAGTGCCCAATGGAGCATCCGAGAGATCAACCGCCTGAGAGCTGGAAGGAGCGCGAGGTGTCTGGGTGTTCGAGTATGCCGGGCTGTTGCTACCGGAGGCGACGTACATGGGGGCGCTATCCGGAGCTGGCCGTTTGACGGGCGGGTTGAGAACTGGTAGCGGCAGAGACGCCTTCGGAATCGAGGCAATATCATCCTTGATGACTTCGTCAAAATCGCCACACACTTTGTTCAACCTGTGGTATACCAAACCAGCCATGCCGCCGAATCTTTGCGCGCAGTGAGGGCACACGTACGCCTCACTAGTCGATTTTGACAGCGGAGCCGTCTTGACACAGATTTTCTTCTTGACGTGCTGCTGACGGTCAGCTTGGCCCACGTCGCAAATGAGACCATCACTTACATGTTGGTAGGCCGATACCCCTGGGAAAGTGCGGTGACAGTAGAGGCACTGCGGGTTGGCAGGATCCGCTGGCTCCAGGGGTTGCGCAGGGAGCTCTGGCATTTGGTTGACACTTTTGAAGGAGTTCGTACGCGCAAGGGCAACTTGATGTTGTTGTTGTAACGGCTGGTGCTGCTGTTGCTGTTGCTGTAGGTGCTGTTGTTGTTGGGCCGGAGCCGCAGGAGCATTTCCAGGCAAGGAGGGGATGACATGTTCATTCTCGACGATATCCGCAGCATCGTATCCGAGCCTCTCCGCTCGCGCTAGGGCATTAACTAGTCGACGTGCCTGGATAGTGGGCAGACGAGCTACGAGAGCTCTGTCAAGGAACGTGTCGGAGGCCTTGGCGAGAATCTTGTCCGCCACCTCATCAATGTCAGCCGTAGTCATGGCATTGATAAGCTCGTGCTTGCCAGCCTCTAGGAACCTTGCGCCAAAGTCTCTGACGGCTCTCTGGAAGATTCCCACGTCGGCTTGATGCATGGTGACGTTCATCTGTAAGAGGGTCAGTCAATCGTGATTCGTCAAGAGCCTCCCGGCTTCCTTCCCATAACGTGGTGATCCCCGCGACAGATACTTACAAGAAAAGCCAGGTGATAGTGTGAGCCAAGGAGACACTTTGGGTGGTTGTCCCTAATCGCACGTCTAACTGCATCCGGGTCTGATTCTTGAATCGCAGCGGAGAGCCGAGCATAGTCGTCCTGGAATCTCTTATTTTTGTCCACTTTACCCGTATGTTGAGCTGACGCTGGCTGAGTTTCTTGCTGAATATCAGAGGTGACAACCGGAACAACAGGCGGCTTGACTCCATTCGCAGCAGCACCTGGTACAGGAAAAGGCACCGGGGTCTGCTTGGGAGCCGCAGCTGGTTGCGATGGCGGAGGGAAAGCGGGAGAATGTGATGCGGACTGGCGAATTGATCCATGGCTGTATGCGCCGGCGTTGGGCATAGGCGGCTGCTGCATCATTGGTGATGCCATCTCTGAACAGCCGCTTGCTTGATCTGTGAAAAGTGACTCTATAGCCAAGCCAAATGGAAGACGTTGTTCAAGAAGCCAAGTGCACTGGTTGAAGAAGGAACGAGTCTAAGTTGAATGAGATCGTCGTCCGTGGACCCAATTTGGTCAGGTGCAACCTTTTCGAGTGTCAGTAACGGTCCAAAAGTGCGCTGAGAAGAAGCTGCTCACTATCCACGAGTTGACGCGTCAATCTTTCGTCAAACGCGTTCTTTGACGTCGATCTCGAGTTCGCGATCTTGATCGTGGGTGATGCTCGTCGTCCTCAAAGTGCCGTTCTGCGCAACCAAGTGGGCAGACGTAAGTGGAGCACGGATTGGTTAAGCAAAGGGTGGAAAAAATAGGAAAAGTTAGGGCGGAGGAGGGGCCACGTCTTTATTAAGGTAGTAGAAAAAGTTAATTAGCGTGACTTATTTAGAAGGAGGGGGGCCTGGGACCGCTATAAGTAATAGCTAGAGAAGGTGCTATAACTTGCTATAGCGTTTTTGGCAGGAAAGACCCGCTCTTACCCCTTAGCTCCGGTTTGATTGGCCGCGCTTTCCGTTTGCTTTGTAATGACATAAGAATCTGTCACACATTCGCGACTGCCTCAAGGTGCTTATAAGACGCTTGGACTCGATGCACCCAATCAGAGCATTTGGATCAGGAGTAACCGTTAAATTGGAGCAATTACTGCAGAAAAAGTAACATTTTTAGCCCATTTATTAATAAGTCGCAATAAATTTCCTCCATATTTTGTCACCCACGTGTAAGAAGCGCATGATTCGTATTATTTCGGCCACAGTAACGAGCAGCGAGACTGGGTCATTTGAACAACGGTAAAGCATCGCAATGTTGACAATTAGGTGGGAGCGAGTTTGTCTCGAGAAAAATCATCTGAATGCAACAGCGTCATTGGCGCCGAGAACAAAGACCGAGGCATTGTGTCACCACCCAGAGCACCTTGAAAGAGCTGTTGTGTTGCAAATCCAGAACAGAGTCCAGATTGTCATTACGGTAAACTACTGATAACCATGCCAAGTACCCGTCCAATTACCTCTGCTCTTCGCGAGCTCCGTCGTTATAGGCGCTTACGGCCTCCAGTCCATTCATCCATCCATCATTCCCGGCCATTATCTCATGAGAAGTGCTTCCCAGCCCAGGGTATCATTCGGTCTCGCACTCCGCGCCCGCGTTGTCGCTGCTCAAATGTTCTCGCCAATACACGCCAACATCAGCCTCTGGTAATCGCCGCTCGTCTCGCCCCGGATCCTGCTCGCCAAGCTGCGGTTGTACCTAGCTTGGTACGCACCCTTGACGTTAGCGAGGGTGTTCTTGTCCCAGTGGTATCGCACCACGCGCGCTACGAGCAGATGATCCTTGGTGCCGAGCCCAGCCATTGAGTCTTCCAGGAGCTTGGCGGCATGCATGTACTTGTCGACTGCGTTGCGGAGCTGGAAAAGAAGGGCGTCCTCCATGTGTCCAGAGAATTCCTATCGCGTAAGTTAGTATCGGGCATGACGTGCGCGTCGAATTGGGCCGGCTTACCTTCTTGATGACTTCCTCAAGCTTCCTCCTAAACTTCTGCTCGTAGGCTTGGTTGATGGCGCGGATCTGATTGTCGTTGCGGGTGCTCAGGATGCTGCAAACAAGCATCTCGTCCGTGCCGACCTTGCCTTCGGTAGCCTTGTACAACTCCATGACATCTGAGTCGACCTGTTGTGGCACAACGGGTGCAGAGTCTTCTGCCCTGTTGGCACCCAGAACGATGAGGAAATGCCTCTCGGTCTTCATGCTGAGGTCGCCCTTTACGTCATCCTCCAGGCGCCTCTTGAATGTTTGCTGGTATGCGCTCTTGATGGCCTGCAGATCCGCGTTTGAACGGCTGAGGAGAACGTCATTCAGAACACTCTCTTTTGTGCCAACCCCGTCCATAGCCTCGTACAAGTTGTAGATATCGGAGCGGAGGGGGCCGCGGGCGATAGACACCAAGCCCTTCTGGAACCAACTACTTGTCTCCTTTTTGATATCCTGCTCGAGATCACGCCTGAAATTCCTGTTGAATGCTGTTCTGATGGCATCGATCTGCAGAGGATCCTTGGTTGCTAGGCAGCGGATGAGAGTCTTCTCGTCGGTACCAAACCCCTTCATTGCGTTGCGCGCTGTCGTCGCGTCAGGAGTCGCATCCCATTGGATGATCTGAGGAGCGCCGTATCCCAGAGACGCCGGCGTTGGGGGTCCGTAGTGCTGAGGCGGGGGAGCGCCATACGACTGGTTGGGTGGCGGTGCCCCGTAGCCACCCGGCGCGGGAGAGTGTCCGCCATATGGCGAGGGAGGAATCGGAGGAGGTGCGCCGTATGCGCCGCCCTGAGGCGGATACTGGCCTGGCGGGGGACCTTGGGGCGGGGGGTAGTGTCCGCCTTGTGGGGGGTATTGGCCCGAAGGAGGTTGTTGGTAGTAGCCGCCCTGTTGAGGAGGTGCACCATATTGGCCGGGCGGAGGACCTTGAGGAGGAGGGTAATGTCCTCCTTGAGGAGGATAAGGTGATCCGCCGTAACCTCCCTGTTGAGGGGGCGGGTACTGCTGGCCGTAGCCCTGGCCGTGAGGCTCTGAATTGGTGTCAAGATCTAAACAACAAGCATGAGAGGATCGCAGAGATGCGGAATGCAACTTACGGGCGCCGTAGCCGTACTGGCCTGGATAGGACATTGAAGTCTGGAATGCGACGCGCAGAGCTCGATCGGTTGACGGTGCCGGGAGAATCGGGGGCGCGCTTGCGTCAGAGGTCAAGAGGGGGCGGGGTACTGGATGTTAGGTAAATGTGAACTGCGTATTCGTACGGAGTAGGTGTTGTAAAAGACTGCGGGGCAGCACAAGGTGACGAGATGCAAGAAGACGGAAAGTCGGATGAGAGAATCGTAGATGGGACTGGGCGGCGTAGCTTATTTTAAAGCTTACATGTGGCGGACGGACAAGACGGGGTCTCAAGAGGCAAGCGAGGTGACGGCGACGAGACCGGTGTGTGGCTGTGAGTCTTTTGCTGAGGCAAGAATTGCGTGTTTGGGCCCTGTGCCGGTGCTGAGAGGGGGAAGCTGGAGGTGATCCTTTCCGGCCGTCACCTGCTTTCTGTTGGTGGTAAGAGCTTGAGCTAAGGTGGAAGATCGAACCCGACGAATCGATCCGTACGCGGAGCTTCTCCCAGCAGTCAGCAGCAGAAAAGCCAAAGTCATTGGGCTGCGAGACGGTCTGCCCAGGCTGGTGTGGTGGCTTAGTAGGCACGCGCCCAGCAAAGAAACTCAACGTCATCCACCTGGAAGATTAAACACGACTTCTGGGCGGCGCGGGCAGTGCGATGAGGTCCACAGAAAGCGACCAGAAGGTCCAAATGTTTCCATCCTCCAAGGCGCCAACCCTGTTGAGCTGCTGTCAGCGCCACAGAGATGCGTAATCGAGGTAGCACTGCCAAATGTCTCGCGTTCCTGTGCACCATTGCTGCAGCCCGATGCGGTGGGGTATGTTCGCTGTTCAATTCATGATGAATGAGGCATTGAGTCGAGGTAGAAAGCAATTGTTCTAGATGCTCTAGACCTTGAAATAGTTAGTACGGATATCCGAAGCTGAAGAGTAATGACAGAGCAAACAAACGCGCAAGGTGTGATCGACGGCGACCCTGCTGCCCTACGAGATGACATGCACGCTGGGGGCCAGAGCTCCCTTGCCCTTGCACGACTTTGGCGACTGTTTCTTGTGAAGAAGCTTAGGAAGTGGATCGGGCAGACAGAAGCGCCTGTGGTGCAGAGATGGGAGCGGAGCGGAGAGTCGAGGGGAAGGGTTCGTCTGGAGGAGGAAGAGGAGGACGCAGGGGCAAGCCACAGGCCAAGGCTCCGATGCACGAGCCACCGGCGAGCTATGGTTCCGGCTGCACCGCCACTTGCTGACAGATCTCGGCCTTTCCGGCTCTACGTGGCTCATGTCATTCGTGGCTGGTGGCTTCTCCATGGTGGCTTCTCCATGGTGGCTTGTGACACTGAATTACATAACAAAACTAAGATACCTCGCACCTCGAAAAACCAGCCAGCACTGAACAGGCGCATGACAGGATGTGGTTCGACAAAGTGTATCCCCAGCCTGCGATCCGAATGACAGTACCGTCACTAGTAGCTGTTTGCCTTTGAAGCTTCGCTAGCACGTCTCCCCTTTTTCATCAAATGATGGTAGCTTCCTGCGAGGTCTAGATGCAGCAGTGTTAAAATCTCCGCCAGCTGAGTTGCAACAGCAACAGGAACGCGGGTGGCTGGGCAGCCGCCTTTTACAATCTCCCATTGGCCACAACGGATCCACCTCGGCAAGCTAAGCGAGCGGTTCAGCCCAGCCCGTACCTGGCGTGCCACGCGTGCCTGGTTTCTGCCCACCTCCCGTCACCTTTAGGCCTGTTGCTCCCCCGCCATTGGTGCCCTTGAGTCGCTGCGTCCCTGGCCAACCAGCAAAAGGTACCTAAACCCTCCATCCAAATCCCCCCATGCAGTCAAGTCCCTTGTAGGTAACCCCTGGATCAACTGTCAAACCGCCTTGGAAGCTGCACTACCACCACCAAAATGGAGCCATTTCAACCTCCCAACCACCAACATTTCCCATCACGAGCTTTTCCAAGCTTCCCTCACCCAGCCATTCGCGTTTGCTAGTGCAGCGCAGTAAAACCATCATGGCTCCCGCACATCCTTCTGTTTGCTTTTCCTTTTGCTTCTCCAGTTTTTCCTCGTATACCCTACAGTCGCTTTTGCAACTATTCGTATTCGATCGACATCGATATCCGCTGTCCTGTCAGTGCCCGTCCTTCATCCTGCAGCAACAGCAAGAAGCACAGCATCGACCAGGCCTGTCAACTTGAGGCACCAGACTTGACTTGAGACGAGCTCTCTTTTTATTTCTCAAACACATCACACCGCCAGCAGCTGGTGGTCCATCTTCGAGATGCGGCCCTCTGCTCCCCTCCCGCTGCTGCTATCCGTCTCCACAGCAGCAAACGCGATCCCCCTCATCGATCGTCTCCTCCATCTTCGTGGCACAAAGCCGACAAAGACCTACTCAGTGGTCAATGTTGAGGGAAGTCCCAGCGCCGACCCGCCAGTCGTCACCATCACAAGATCGCCGGTTCAAACAACGGTCACGCAAAGAGTCACCGATACCATCACCCAGATCTCGTCTGCAGTACAGACAACATCTACTACATCCCTCATCATCGTGAACGTCGATGGCACCACGGATAGCGGCCCCGCAACCGTCACTGTCTACCCAAGCGTAAAGCCTACCCCTGAATCAACACCTTTGACAGTCACTCCCACGACGGCACCAACAACGCCACCGGTTGCTCCTCCGCCAAGTTCTGTTGAGCCAGCACCCTCCTCAGCTGCACCGTCAACTCAAGTCTCCGAGTCTATTCAGCCAGCTCCTTCTTCAACAAGTACGCCTGGCATCCCTTCGAGCATTGCAATTCCTTCATCCACACCATCCTCGAGCGCCCCTGTCGTGGTGCCTCCCCCATTAAGCGAGACGTTGGCGTCGCCTAGCCCATCCTCGCCAGTGCCTTCGTCGGATTCGACATCTGCTCTCGAGCTGCCGCCCTCTACAGAAACCCCAGTGGCACCATCATCAGCACCTGTTGGCTCATCCACCGCCAGTGTTGTGCCTCTTCCTTCGACGGAAACCCAGGGTACTCCCAGTGCGTTCCCGTCGCCGTCGCCGTCGCCGTCCGCCAGTGTCTCCTCGGGAGCAGCTGAGCCTCCATCGACTTGGACATCTATTGCGGCACCCCCAGCATCATCCTCAGCAGTCGCAGTTTCCAGTTCTTCCGAGACCAATGTGGTTCCCCCTCAGTCATCAGTAACATGGGCTGCTCCAAGTGAACCGGTTTCAACACCAGTTGAATCGTCTGTGGTCATCGTTCAGCCTCCCTCGCCCACGGAGACCCCGGTTGCGCCGACTTCTTATATCGCTCCCCCTGTGGAACCATCATCTGCTCTTCCACCTAACGTAACATCATCATCATCATCAACCTCGACGACTACAACTTCTACCTCTATTGGCACAAGCGTCACAGAGGCTTACACGCCGCCGACTCCTACCCAAGTCTATGAGACCACTTATCAGACCTCATGGGTACAGACGCCCAGCTCTTTCCCTCAACCCTCAACCTTTGTCACCAGCATCATCAGTGTGACAACATCTTCCTCGGTTCCGGAGTCTACCACGAGCTTTGACGATGGTGATTGGTCTACGACCAAGTACCCCGAGTGGAACGGTACTGCCAGCGCGACCCCTCGCTACCGCCGATGAAGGGAGGGTCATATTTCCTTTTTCTATTACGGAAAGGACAATTTATGTCTGATGTACTTTCACGTGTTTTGCATATCCTCAGCATGGCGTAATTAGTTCTGCTAGAACATGGGAGGTTGTTTGAACTTAAAGCATTGGTAACACGTGCGAACGAGACCTGAGAAACGACGTATCATTCAGGGCCAAGGGCCATCTCGGACTGTGGGAAGAGAGCTCACAGCAGCACAGACCAAGAGCTGGAACGCGCTGTCATCATTGGGTTTCCTAATGTCTAATAAGATAGAACTTGTATATACTCAACCAAGCGTCACATATGATCAGTCGTTCTCCCGTATGCTCGAAATAGAACGTCGTGCCCCTAGATGTTGTCTGTAACGCAGACTAGAGTCTCGACAGTTGGTTAATCCAGTCGTTGATGATCACACATGCCCCCCCTGGACGCAGAAGCTGAGGGCGACACAGCTTGTGTATTGTGAGATGGTTGACTCAAGCTGGGAGATCCGTGTCACCGTCCAGGAGGCTACTATCATCTCAATCTCGGCTTTTGGAAGCCTATTTGGAATCAGAAAATCATTCCTGTTTATTCTTCAATCGTTACTTGACTGTATGCAGTCAGCTTTTCTTATTTCCAAAAGAACACGGGAAACGTCGGGTTGGATAGGGATGCAAGCGAAGCCGCAGCTCAGCATAGGACGATTGCCAGAAAAGCAATGCCAAAAGGATTTTCCTCTTCAACAGTCTTACAAAATAATTAGACAATTATCCGCTGGCTAGCCTTCCAGAAACTGCAGGCATCAGCCTCCTCATTGGTGCGCGGAGGAAAGCGTAGCGTTGGCGCTAGGTGACTAGCAACGTCGACCAACGCGAGAACACGTTGGACATCACGAACCGGTTCACGAGTTTCCTGGGATGCGTTCATACTCTGCTTTTACTTAGATTCACACCCAAAAGGAAAAGAGTGACACATTCGGCCTTTCACGCTCAAGAGAATTGGAGACGGTTGGCCATGTCCCGCCTGCTCTTCTATGTTCTGAGCCGGGTTCCTGCAGGATTGCGGACCTCTTTGCAACCTCTACAGTCGGAGATGGGACAGAGGGCGTGTGCGAGTTAAGCCAAGTCTGTGCCGAATAATCCGTGCCATGAGGAACCGTTTATGCATGAAAATCTCCCGGAGAATTTTAGGAAGGGACCCGTTGGAGGAGCTAGAGTGTAAGCTTAAGAAAGGTACAGCTTGCTCGGCCGATCTATATGACTAGAGGTCCGTAGGATCCATGCTATTTTCTCTCTTGCAGCTTTTTGCGCATCAGAATGACGGGGAACTTGAGAGTGAAGTTTCGCTCGGTGAGCGAGCTACCTTAGATTAGGGATTGTCCAATGGCATGTCTACACGTCTTACGGTCTTGTCATGACTACGCGGGTACAGCTGACAACGCAGCGACGGTCTGGTGCCGTTCAGATGAATGCAGGCTCCGACAGTTTTACGGCGAGAGGAGTTAGTTTCTGAGACAATATGGCGGGAGCGAGGGGGTTCGGCATGTGTTCACAGTCATGGTCTCTCCATGAGCCTACTAGGACGGCAGGGGCTCCATGGGTAGCATAGGTGAGTCGTGACTGTTGATCAACTTCGTCATTCCTCGATGGGTCCCCGATCTGTCTGCCATGTTTCTCGGGTTCTTTCTTGGCCAACTCTAGGGCAAAACCTTTCAGCTGTAAAGAGGGGGGAGGGGGAAGGGGAGAGTATATACCCGCAGTACTCCTTGAGTACCATATATGCTCATGTGCCGACTTACACGCTCGTCTCAGCCTTTCCACCCAAGCACTCCGTCCTTTGGGCTGAAGAACAACCGCTCTCTCCTTCCTTCCCCAAGCGAAATTTTCCTCTCCTCAGGGCTATAGAAAATCACTTCAGTAACACTCTTCGGGGCGCTCTCTCTCTCGCAATGTTTCCACACATCCAGTCATGCAGACGCAAAAGCGTCTTCTCAACCTTCCTCCTCCTCTTCTTCCTCCTAGCCCTCCTAGTCGACTGCACCCTCGCGACACCATCTCCGACCACAGAGCAAGCTCTTGACAAACAAGCGAGAGATACAACGATCCTAGAGGACCTCTCATACCTCGCCATTGCAGCCGACACATCCTGCGAGGGGTCCGAGGGCCAGTACAACTGTCTCTCGGACAGATTCCAATACTGCCTCAACGGGACGTGGAGCGACGTTACCGCGTGCACCGAGAACAGCGAAAAGGCTGCCGAGTCATCGTCTCTCTGCACGCCTATCGGGAGGACGGATACCATTGATTTCAACGGAGAGTGTGAAATCAGCGCCGCTTGGGGATGGGGGAACGGTGGCGGTGGTTGGGGCGGCGGTAGGGGGTATTACGGTGCTGGAGAGAGGGTTGAGGTGTCAAAGTGGGTTTGGTCTTTTGTTGGTATGGTATTCGTCCTGGGTGCGTGGTGAAGCTAAGGCCGATGAACATTCTGTCACCGGTGTCCTGGGCAAGGGAATGAGAAAACGAAGGGTAGGATGGATAGGGACATTGGAGTACATTCGAACTTTTCTTCTGTCGAGGGGATTGCACATCAACAAGGCGATTGGTACATTTTCTTTGCGCAGACGAGGTTTTCTCATGGGACCATCGGGTAAGGCGTTCCTTTTGTAATAATACCAGCTTATCTCTTGGCTTTACAGCAATGCGCGGCTTCTTCAAAAGATATTCAAAAACATATGACATATGTAGTCTATCTCTAGGGGTGTGCAACGACTGGTCGTCCTGACAAACCGGTATGCTCAACTACGCTTCATGAGATATTCTCAAATAGAAAAGAATTAGCTTCCTGGATAAGAAAAAGCGTTGAGGCTGACATCAACCCATGCGGCAACCCGGATCCGAAGGTCCACAGATCAACAAGAGCCACGAGCCAACTTTGCGCTATCGTGACGTCACCCCTTGGCGCATCACAAGACCAGGTTCAAGGAAGCTAACGACCAACCTCTCTCGATATAAATTCCGAAGATAGTCTAATGAACTTGTATATCATATCTACTTGACGTGTTACCAAACATTCACATAACTCGGCTCATTAATCAACCATAAGATACCAACGTCTACCAAAGCTTGAACGCAACCATCACCATGGCCACACACACGAATTCCGAAGTTCTCAACGCCGAGACCGCCGGCACCGCAAACACGTACGAGACCCCCAATGTGAATACCGCAACCTCCCACACTACGAGAACCGACGAGATTCCAGCAGCGCACTCGACCTCCAGCGCCGCCACAAGCACCATCGGCGGCGGCGATGCGCCGACGACGCGCAGCGGTGGCATTGGACAGCAGATTAAGGGTGCATTTGCACAAGGACATGTGCGTAGTTTCCACGTGTATTGACACCCTCTAGTATTATTAGGGGACTGTTGCTGAATATGCGATGCTGATAACTGTGTTATAGGGAATGGGAGAGGTGATTCGTGGAAAGTTCAACTCTGCTGTTGACACCGCGGCTGGTGACTCGCAGGGCATGGCCAAGAACAAGAACATCACTACTGGTGGTGAGAGGGAGTTTGCGACAAAGGACTTTGTTAAGAAGGGGACATTGGACAAGGCTTTGTGAGGTTTGTTTGGAGAGGATGTGTTTTATGTATGATGAGTGTTGTTGGTGGAGGGCCTGAATGATACCAACTTGCTTGAGATTCCCTTCCGTATTTACCTTAATTCATCGATTTCCACTACGCTGCGGCTACCAGTGTCTGTACAATGGATGGTTGAAGCTCCGATTTGAAAATCTGCCGTGTCATTTTTGCATCTCCTAAGCTCCCAAGGGTGGGATATGAGTTACGTTCGAGAGGTTGAGTCGTAATGCTGACTTTTGTGTTTCTCATTCAGATTATTCTTGCTTCTGGAATGACCAAAGAGGCCAGCAAGTGCCATAACATGAATGAACGTCATAGGCCGAGTAGGGTCAGACCCCTCTAGGGAATCATACGTACTAACTGCCAGACACGTGGTGAGTCGTGAGCCAAAGTTGCGTTTTGACATGGGAGCTGAACTAAGCCGGGTAAGATGGCAAAGGATACAGGGTACGCATATACATTTTGCGTCTCCGGATAGTAGAGTTTGTTGGAATCATCTGCCTTCAATACAGAGTTGAAACCTCTATGAAGCTCAGAAAGTCGAAGAATGGTCGATTATACTTGGCAGACTGGTCTTGCTGTCAGTCTTGGAAACGGTCGGGTTTATTTGTCTAGTAAGATTTCGTAAACAAGCTGTCATCTCCTCCACAGACATACTAGTCATCGGGAGTACTCGGAATTTCGGAATGTGGAATGCTATCGTAGCGCGGCAGGGGGCTGGGAAGCGATTTCGGCAAGCATGTAGCGAATCGTTAGATAGAAAATGGCATCGGGGTTGGCGTTTTGACGATAATTCTTATAGAAAGATTGCTGATTTCATCGTGAGTATTAAGTTGAGGTGCTTCATGAAAGGCAGCCGGCGGGTATCGGACCCCAGGAGCGGAGGTGTCCCGGTGGCCCCCGCGATTCTAGAAAAGTGGAGCCCCGTGGTGATCCGCGGAGCCGTCAGCGCTGGTCCGAAACAAGGGCCGAGGCATTGGTTTGCGGACAGCGTTGGTCAAGACCAGATACGATATCAGTCTGGACACTCCATAAGTTGTACTAGTGAAGAAGGATTGCTTATCATCCTCGCGAAGAGTCAGCCGGTCAGCAGCCAGTGGAGCATTGCATAATGTTTACTACGTATTGCAGTCCTGATTGTACAAGTTGCATTCACGCTGGTTCGGCTGGTTTAAGCAGCTGTTGGCCTGCTGGTGAGCCTCCGTTGTGCAGGGTTGAAATAGCTGCCACACCCACTCTCCAACGAGGGATTCCGACTGCCCAAGCAATGGAACCTCCAAGGGGGAGGTAGGTGAGGTCCATTAGTAAGGTGAGATGAGGTCGGAGAGATCCACACCTCCCCCCAATGGCCCCAACAAGGGGACCTTGACGGCCAAGGTCGGGCCCCGCGTGTGCATGCGGCACAGCGGTTGGATGTTCACACTGCAACTGCAACTGCAACTGCGACGAAGTTCTGCTCATCAAAAAGAAAGGGAAAGAGTCATTGGCCGATGGGATGTTTCCGACTCGGGGGAAGGACCAGTTGGGCAGTTAGAGGCAGAAGCAAGTGCCAATATCAGTCACTAGGAAGGCACCTTGATGGACCCCTCTCCTTGGCTGCTTCTCGGAACGCGTGGGTGTACCAATTCGGAAAGACATGTCAAAGGAAGTCACGCTCACCTTCCACCTTCGCAGGGGCACTTGCCGTACCTTACACGATGCCATAAGACCAGCTGGTGACCCTCTTTCCGCCTCTGGTATTTTCCAATTCCGCCTGTTTTCTCTTTTGTTCCGACTCTGTTACTCTTCTGCATCTTCATTTATCGTTTCTGTGCTGTGTTCAAACCTCCAGACACCAGTTCCATTCATCCGAGAAGCGTCCCCGTCCAACCCACCCGAGTTCCGACCCCAGATTTTGACCCCAAGTTCCCACACCTCGTAACCCCACGATTCCATCATGGACGAAGAGCAATCCCCCTTGATGCGGATCCCCGCCGAAATCCGCATCATGATTTACGAATACCTCCTTGACGACGCTGGCGAAAGAAGACTCGCCGTCCGCAATAAGGCAATGCATCAGCTGCACAACGGCGCCCTGAGCACCTACCGCCGCACCTCATACCGCATCATCGAGAGGTCCTTTCACAGGCAATGCTTCTTGACGACGTACGCGCATCACCACCCGGCTAGCCCCAAGTCTATAATGCACCCCGAAATAATGGCCGTCAACCGCCGCATCCACCGTGAGACGAGCCACCTTCTTTACGGCCGCCCGCACGGCTTCGATTTCGGTAGCGACGTTGAGGCTGTGGTGCCCTTCCTCAAAGACCTGACGCCCTCTTCTCGATCTGCTATCCAGGAGCTTACCATCCGCAAGGACGGGCCTGTGATGCACTGCAATAGTGAGAGTGACCGGCTGGACTGGGCTACCATGTGCGCCTACCTCGGCCGGCTGGATAAGGCGATACCTAGGCTGCGTATCATCGTGGAGGGCGGAAGACCAACGGCGGCGTGGGAGGGGCCGCAGGTGCTGAGCGTCTCAGATCTGAGGTTGCTGGCGCTCATTAAGCACGATAGCATGGAGTGGGTCGCTGAGCTGGCCAAGGTCGAGGGGATTGAGCAGCTGGAGATTGTGCCGAGGATACGACATCTCCCTGCGCCCGGCACGACGGCAACACTGTTGTTTGCTGCATTTTCAGCGTCAATTGACACGGCGCTTGTTGAGTATCTCCAGACGGACTGTGGGCTTCCTGCTACGGCTGTGTCCCTCACAGCTTGAGACCATTGGGAGGTAGTGGATGTTGGATATTCTCGGCTGCTTTTTCGGCCTTCTCACTCGGGAAATCGGGTGAGTTTGGACACGAGCCTGCTGATTGCGGGGATGGAGCAAAAATGGAGAGTATGCGGAGTACTGTCTGGATTTGGATGGCGTTTTGTTGGAGTAAGGGGTTCATGAACACACATATCCTGCATGATGCAGCAATGGCACATGGGTAGGGAGTAAGCACACGGCATGGCATTATCTGAGATGGGTGAAGATGCGAATTGACAGAGGGGCATCCTGAATGTAGGGATATATTGCACAAGCATGTGACAGTGTACGAATCAGCTGCTGAGAGAATTTCAAACGAATCAATGAACTGACCCATGGCATATGAGAGGGACTGTTGTTCTTTGGTGATATTATCGTTGCTTCCGACCGTTGTGATCATCAAGAGGTCAGGTTGGTTGTGTGCTGTTGAGAGGCGGAGATCGGGTCGAGCCCACAGGCTGATGCAGCCAAGGCGGGGGGCGCTGGCCGGAACTATGGCCTGTGCCGCGACCCTTGGTTCAAGACAGAACTTTTGCTTCCAACGCGCCAACGTTTGTTCGAGATCCTGGTCAAATTTCCTTGCGCAGTCCAGAATCCGTAGTCCAGTGTCGAGGCTCGAGTGGCAAGGGTTTCCACTACCTTGAATAGGGAGAAGTACCTAGGCTCGTTGGCCTAAGTAGGCCAAAAAACTACGGAGCCTCAAGTTCACTGCATTTTAACCCACCAAGAGGGTTCAATTGAACCATGGAGAAAAGACTACTACGTATGTAGTACTCCAAATTTGAGTCTCGCTTTCACTGCATTTTCAACCGGTCCCATGAAATCCCTGAGGCGTGTTTCCCTCTTATCTTATCGCCCTTTTCGATGGACGAGGTCTTACATAATGATGCCTTACATAATCACTCCTCCAGGCAGCTCGATTCTCCGACCTCCCACTGGCGGGCACGTCACAGGGAAAGGGACGGTCTCCACTTCTCGTCCACGCCAGCCAGTGTCTGGCCTTCACTCCACTGCTCCAGCCACGGCTCAGTCCACCGAGCTCGCATCGCACCAGCACCGCAGTACTGCCTAGTCGGTCCTTAGCACTCGCCTCGAGCCAGCTACTGCTAACCTGACGGGACTCCATCGTCAGCCTTCCAACGAACCCCCCCGGACCTCACCTCGCAACCCTTTTCGCAGCCGCGTGCGCCGACGACACACCTCCGACATCTGCGCCCTCATCCATCGCGCAATTGTTCCGACCGCAATCGATCCACTCCGACTCTGTCGTTTGTCCTCTTCATCAATGAGCCGCAACTGAGCATCATATACGTCGCCTCGATCGATAACTACCCCGCCGGTTCGACTTCGATATGTCTGCGACTCCTGTGCCGCCGGAAGACCAGGCACGCCTCTTGGAGGATGCCCTGGTCGCGGTGCGCCAGCAGACGGCCCTCATGCGCAAATGCCTCGACACGCCGAGCAAGCTCATGGATGCCCTCAAGTGCTGGTACGTCATCCCCGTTCCCCGGATTCCCGGGAGCTCCTAGGCAGCTTCTCTCGATGCCCCCGATAAGCTTCAATGGTTGAGACTAACAGTCCGATGCACCTCGTCCAGCTCTACCCTAGTTTCCGAGCTGCGCACGAGTAGCCTGGGCCCGAAGCAGTACTATGAGCTGTATATGGCTGTCTTTGACGCCTTGCGCTACCTCTCCGTCCATCTCCGAGAGAACCACCCTGTCAACCATCTCGCCGACCTGTACGAGCTTGTCCAGTATGCCGGTAACATAATCCCGCGTCTGTACCTCATGATCACCGTCGGCACGGCCTACATGTCCATCCCCGACGCACCTGTCAAGGAACTCATGAAGGATATGATGGATATGAGCAGGGGCGTGCAGCATCCCATTCGCGGCCTGTTCCTCAGATATTACCTTTCCGGCCAGGCCAGAGACTACCTACCGACGGGTGACGGCGACGGTCCCGAGGGCAACTTGTCCGACTCGATCAACTTCATACTCACCAACTTTGTCGAGATGAACAAGCTCTGGGTCCGGCTGCAACACCAAGGCCACTCCCGCGAGCGCGAACAACGGACGAGAGAGCGGAAGGAGCTCCAGCTTCTGGTTGGAAGTAATATCGTCCGACTGAGCCAACTCGTGGATCTGGAGACGTACAAGTCGGGCATTCTTGCGCCTCTGCTAGAGCAGGTTGTGCAATGCCGCGATGTCCTGGCACAGGAGTACCTGCTCGAGGTCATCACCCAGGTCTTCCCTGACGATTTCCACCTACATACTCTGGACCAATTCCTCGGAGCCGTTTCGCGCCTGAATCCCCATGTCAATGTAAAAGCCATTGTTATTGGTCTGATGGACCGCTTGTCAGATTACGCCGAACGCGAATCCAAGGATGAGGGAGAAGGGGACCGGGCTAAGCAGGAGGAGGAGGCGCTATCAGCTCTGCTGGAGAAGACGAAATTGCAGGCCGAGAAGGCATCAAGTGCGCCAGGCTCCGGTGTGGACGAGAATGGGAAACCCCTTGACCTCGATACAAACGGTGCCGCGCACGAGAGCAGCGAAAATGAAGCCCGCGCCGCAGAGGACCTACCCCCGCCAGAAGAGCCAGCTCCTTCGATTGCCGACACTGAGGCGACTGCCGTCAACGGAGAAGGGGCTGATGCAGAGAAGGGAATACCGGAGAACGTGCAGCTCTACGAGATTTTCTTCAGCCAAGTCAAAAACTTGGTGGATGCGCAGCATCTCCCTATCCCAGACACAATAGCGTTGCTCTGCTCACTGACAAACCTGGCACTCAACATTTACCCCGAGAGGCTAGACTTTGTCAACCAAATTCTTGAGTATGCCACGATCAAAGTCCGGGAAAACGCAAACAATGCCGACCTTCATTCTCCCCCGGCACAGCAAAGTCTCTTGGCCCTGCTGCAAGCGCCTCTCAACCGCTACCTCTCCATCTTCACCGCGCTCTCTCTCCCTACCTACGTTCCTCTTTTCCAGTCACAGTCGTATCCCACTCGCCGCGCCGTTGCTGGTGAAGTCGCTCGCACTCTACTCCGTGACCAGACAAGGATCTCTACCCCTAGCCAGATGGAAAATGTTTTGGAGGTCTTGAAGGTGCTCATTAAGGAGGGCTCCCAAACACCGTCCAACTACCCAGGTGTTGCACAACGCCGGGCTGTCGAGACCGACGAGACTATGGAGGAACAAGGTTGGCTGGCCAGAATTGTCCATCTCATTAATGGCGAAGACAACGACACACAATTCCGTTTATTGCAAATGACCCGCAAGGCTTACTCTGAAGGCAACGAGAGGATCCGTACGACGACACCGCCCCTCATCACTGCCTGCATGAAGCTTGCAAGACGCTTCAAGACGCGCGAACATTACGAGGACAACTGGGAGACCCAGAGCAACGCCCTCTTCAAGTTTATGCACTCTGCTCTGAGCACTCTATACACCCGTGTCAACGGAGCCGGCGCGGCGGAGCTCGCCCTGCGCCTGTTCTGCGCGTCCGGTCAGACGGCTGATATGACGGGCTTTGAGGAAGTGGCCTACGAGTTCTTTGCTCAAGCCTTCACCGTCTACGAGGAGGCGATTTCGGACTCCAAGGCGCAGTTCCAAGCCGTCTGCGTTATTGCCACAGCGCTGCACCAAACAAGAAACTTTGGCAAGGAGAACTATGACACTCTCATCACCAAGTGCGCTCAGCACGGCAGCAAGCTTCTGCGAAAGCCCGACCAGTGCCGTGCTGTCTACCTCGCTAGTCACCTGTGGTGGGCCACGCCAATGGCTGTCAATGGCGAGGCCGACGAAACTGGGGTAAGTCTGGGGCTACATACACAACCAACCGACATTTGCTAATCTGTTGCAGCTGTACCGCGATGGAAAGAGAGTGCTTGAGTGTCTTCAGAGAGCCCTGCGCGTTGCAGATTCATGCATGGAGACGGCGACATCGATTGAGCTGTTTGTTGAGATCCTCGACCGATACGTCTACTACTTTGAACAGCAGAACGCGGCGGTAAGCCCCCTCACTGCTTTTGTACATTGTTTTTCCCGAGTACTGACTGGGCTACAGGTCACCACCAAATACCTCAACGGCCTCATTGAGCTCATCCACTCCAATCTCGCCGGCAACCAGCAGGATTCGGCCTCGGTCGAGAATAGCAAGCGACACTTTTACCACATCCTCGAAAGTATCAAGGGGCGGCAGTACGATGGCATTGTCCTGTACCCGAAATAAACACCGGTACTTGGAACCTGTCGACCCGTTCTTGAAGCAGACGGGAGGCACTCCTCCAATCACCACATGACGACACACCTTACGAGAGCAGGGAGAATGAAAGAAGGGATTATGGAGAGGGAACAGATGGGTGTTTCTTAATTAGCGGCGACGGAAGTAGTGGCCGACACGGGTTTGTGAGAAGAACCTAGGTGAGTGAGGTTTGGAGATTGGAGCAGAAGGAAATGAGACCGTTTGCGTGTGTGTGAGAGAGAGTCAAGAAAAAACGTGTTTATACGATAAGCGCATGCAATGAATTGGAACAAGACGAAATCTGTGGATGTGGTCGTGCACAGAGAGACGGTGGAAAAGCTTTGCATGTGGCTTGCGGCCTTGATTGTATATACGTGTGTCGTGCCTTTTTCTCTTCCTACCTTACCTCATTCTAGTGAAGCGATCGAACTTCTTATCCCTCGCCACAATCGTCACGTCTTCAAAAAAGTGTAGGTTCGAGTCAAAAGAAGGGTGAGATAGCTTGATGATATTCATCACGACACATGGAACATCATCACGATGAAACACGGGCAAAACACAGTCTCGAATTACACGTTCCGCTACAAGATCGCGGCAGTGTAAAAGGTTTCAACTATCGTACCTTTGGGACATGAAAGAGTTGCGGAACAATGGGTGTTTGTGTGGTAGAAATTCCCCCCTAAACTCCTTGCAATGCCAGAAAAAACAGGAACAGAGTT